GTTGCAACCTTATATAAGCTTTTTCCTTTTCTAAAACATTAAAACAGTAATAATATCTTGATAAGATATGGGTGTCTTAATTATTTTCTCTCTCTATGATGTATATTAACATTGGCAAAAGATTAGATGGTGATAATATCTTGAGTGATTCACATATGGACTAGAAAACTTTATCTAAAATAAGAAATATTCCGTTTATAGGTAGAAATTACAAAGAAGGTCGGTCACCCTGTATTGTTTTAGTTTTTTCAAAATTACCCATCTATCTGAGGATTCCATCATCGGACCGCATTCCATTTTATTTTATTTTTTAGTTTTTTTGTTATTAGGGTAGCGCCCAGACGGTCAGAGGTTCGAATCCTTAGACTGCTTTCTGGTTCATGAGCGCTCTGAGGATCTCATCCTCGGACCACTCTTTATTTCTTATTTTTTGAGAAAAACAGCGGTCCGAAGCCACCACCCTCGAACCACACTGTCTTATTTATTGAGAAAAAACAACGGTCCAAGGATGGAAACCTTGAACCGTTCTCTGGACTAAGCAAACTCAGTCTAGGGTGGTTCAAGGTCCCCATCCTCGGCTTCTCTTTATTTCTTATTTATTGAGATAGACAGTGGTCCGAAGATGGGGACCTCGGACCGCTCAGCATCGGTCCAAGGATACTAACCTCTGATCGCCTTGGGCACTATCCCTAAATCTTGAGGCATTGCCCTACTAACGAAAAAGCTAAAAAAAACAAAGTTAAAATGCAGTCCGAGAGGCAATTTTGCAAAAATTATAAAAACACAGTTAACCGACCTTTTATATAATTTCTACCTATAAACATAGCATTTCATATTTTAGGTAAAATTTTTGGGTCTTTGCATAAATCACTCTAACATCTTCGTAAGATAGGGTCTCCTAGTTTATTTTCTCTCCCTAGAATGTCTATTAACATTGATAAAGTAATAATATCTTCATAAGATAAGGGTGTCTTAGTTTATTCTCTCTCACTCAAGGATATATTTTTGAACGTTTCTCTCTCTAGGATTTTTATTAAAATTGGCCTGCTCAAGGGCGTGATCATCAGCACTAGCATCCAACAAGAGACGGAGCTACCATTGTTTACCTTGTGTTTGTGCTCAGGTGGCCCCCCCCCTTGTAATGTCAGCCTATAAATACATTTGAGTTTGAAGCTTAGAGTCATTGCGTAGCTCTAATCCCTTAAGCATAATGGCAAAAAACCAGTGCCCTCCTCTTCTTAACCCTCTCTTTCTCTCTCTATTTGTGTTGCTAGCCACCCATTGCCATGCAGCACTAACCAAGGAAAGGAAGGTAATAATCACTCATTTTGACACACATTCTCTCTCTCTCATTAAGATGCGCACACGCATGCATACAATTACACGTGTTAATTTTAAACTTGTGGTGAAATCACTCATTTTAACTTTCTCTCCCTATCATACACACACATACATACCTAGATTGTTGCACATGTCGATTTTAATTAGGAAAATTACGTCTGTATCATTTTATTTGGCTATTATTATGTCATGGTAAAAAAATACTCAATATTTATACAAAGGTCCTTATCCCCCTGATTTTTCATTTTTTCCGTATATTTATTTTTATTTTATGATATTTATATAACAGGTAAATGTCAAAAGGGTGCAGTCTGTATAGAGCCTAGGTTCTAAACAATCAAATTAGAGCCTACCTTCAAATAGTATCGAGAAATACGGTTTCAATATGAGAAATCTTTGTGATAGCCTTCAAATGCATTTTCATCTTTATTTATAAAGTTTAAAGCTTAAAAATTAATATAGATTGATATATCTATGAAAACTTGAAAATCTGAAAAATTGACGGTCCAAAAATGTATTAAAATACACTATTTTCAAAACTTGAAATCCATTTTTTCTCATGTCCATGCATCTTGATGTCAAGATGATTAATTTGAGGATATTTGGACGTCAAAACAACATCTTCTAGTGAAAGTCTTGAGGTAGGCTCAAATTTGATTGTTTAGAGCTTCGGCTCTATATAAACTTTTTCCACGTCAAAAAACATTGAATGCCAATTTTGTAGGGGGGTGCGATGTTTTAAAAATCTAATTAGCCTGCACTTCTTAGTCTTTCTGATGTCCGAAACATCAGACTCCCTTGAACCTTCAATAAATACAAGCATTTGATATATGAAATCCCTCATTTTAACTTCCTCTCACTCTCTGTCTCTCTCTAGGTGCACGTCGTGTACATGGGAGACCTGAACAACGATGTATCAGCCAAGTCGATGCACCATCTCATGCTACAAGATGTGCTCGGAAGGTTCCCACACAACACCATTCAATTCTTTTCTTTTCCAGAATGTTTCAAATAATGTTGCGCATTAAGTTGATCTATATTCATTCATGAAAAGTGAAAGACCCTCAAAATTCGATGGCTGTGGATTCACAGTTCCGATGCCGCGAAAGAGTCCTTCATCTACAGCTATGGCCGAAGCTTCAATGGATTCGCTGCCAGGCTCACCGATGAGGAAGTCCAAACGTTTTCTGGTGAGAAATGTTATCTAACGTTTTGAGAGAGACAGAGAGAGATGCATTATTTGATGTTTATGAACTAAAATTTTCAGAGATGGAGGGAGTGGTTTCTGTTATTCCAAACACCATGTTGCAGCTTCACACCACCAGATCATGGGATTTTATGGGATTAACTATGAATGTGACAACCCCTGCTCCTTACGAAACCGATGTAGTCGTTGGGCTCCTCGACACCGGTACTTTTTTACCACTGCCTATTTTGAAGTTTAAGGGACAAAAAATTATTGTGACATTTATGTACAAAAGATAAATAGTTTATTTGTCGACAATCCCATATATATATATATATATATTATGTTATTTATGGATGTGGTTTTGATAAAGTGTCAACCCCAATGATTACAATAAAATTGTACTTTTAAACCCCTCTAGAAGTTGCACTTCAGGTACTCGTGATTTGGCTATCATTGAACCTAACAAAAATCACTATATTGGCTTGAAAATAATATTTATTTTTTAATTATAAAATTTAAAGCTAAAAAAAATGTGCAGATAAAGCAGATTTATAAACGTTTGAAAACCTCGAAAATGAATGTTCCAGATAACGTGTTATAAGATGCACTATTTTTTTGAAATCCGTTTTCATATCCATATGTTTTAAGGTTGAGATATCAATTGGAGAAATTTGTGACAAAGCAACCTTCTTTTCTCCAATATATTGCTTTTTACTTTTACAATATAAAGTTGAAATTTCATATAAATGTTTGCCTTTGTTTAAGTATAGTGAAAAGATTTCTTCCTATATAGGGAGGATATTATGTGTTGTATTTCCTTTTCCTCCCTTGGGTAAAATATATGCTATGGATACTTTTTGTATCTCAAATTTTAAATATTTAATCTTTACAATCCATAGAATTTATCTCGGCGAAAAAAAAAAATTTTGAATTAAGGGAAAATATCTTCACCCTCTCTATTTTTAAGTTTCATATCTCAATATACCCAAAATTTCAAAACATATCTTGAATAATAGAAAACTTAAGTTTTATATCTTCTATCCCCTTAGGCTAATTTTACTCATTTTATTTACTTTTTTTAATCCAAACAGTTTGTAAAAGGACACCAATTTCTAAACCTTTCTTTCTCTCTCTTCGCAAAATTCTCTCATTCTCTCTCCCCTATGACTCTCCCCAAATCCTTTCTTTTCTCATCACCCCTAACTCTCCCTCTCTTCGTGTCTCTTACTTTCTTTCTTACCCCTACTCTCTCTCCCCGTGTGGGTTTGTTTTCTCCAACCCTTTCTTGGTGTTTCCCAACTTCTTTCTCCCTCAACCCCTCTCTCTAGGTTTCGCAACCTCTCTCTCCTTCTGTTTCCCCAACCTCTCTCTTCCCAAACCTCTTAGAGCTCCATTTGGGAGCAGAACTTCGCACCCCAAACCACATGCACCTCCATTTGCAGAGGATGCAAACCACATATAGCTTTATTTGCATAGGATCCAAGCCACAGAGAGCTTCATATGTAGAGGTTCGCACCCCAAATCACACAGTCTCTCTGTCCCGCCATTTGTAGAGGTTCAAAGCACCATTACAGAGGTTAGAAGTGTTCAGGGTTTTCACGTTAGGTGTTTCACGAAGACACGAGAGAATGACAAACACGGAGGGAGGGAGAGAGAGAGAGAGTAGGGTAATACATTAAGAAAGAGAGAGAAAGAGAGAAATTAGGGAGAGTTACATTATAGAGAGAGAAAGAGAAAAATTAGGGAGAGTCACGGTGGAATTGGGAAGAGTCATTGAGTAAGAGGGTAGAGAGAGAAAAAGATAGAGAAATTAGGGATAATCATGGTGGAGTTGGGAAGAGTCATGGTGAGAAAAAGAGAAATTAGGGAGTTACAGTGGAGGGAGAAATTATGGAGAGTAATAGTGGAGTTAGGGAGAATCATGGTGAGAAAGAGGTAAGAATTAAGGAGAGTCACGGTGGAGAGAGAGAAAGATAGAGAAATTAGGATATGAGAGAGAGTGAGATACAAGGAGGGGAGAGAGAAAAAAAGGGGAGAAAAAGGGATAATACGGTGAGAAAGAAGGGGTTAAGAGAATCACAGATGAAAGAGAAAGAGAGAGAAATAAATAGAATATCATGTGAAGGGAGAGAAATGATGGAGTTTACAAATGGTTGTCTTTAAACAAATTGTTTGGATTAAAAAATAAAAAATAAAGTAAGTAAAATTATTCTAAGGGGTTAGAAGATATAAAACTTAATTTTCTATGATTCAAGATATGCTTTGAAATCTTGGATGTATTGAGATATTAAACTTAAAAATAAGGGGTATGAAAATATTTTCCCTTGAATTAAACACTTTATATACTAAAAAAAACTTGTGGCTTAAAATTGAATAGAGACCGTCCAATTTTTTGACGGAGTAGATCCAAAACTTAAGTGTTTTCTAAAATTTTAGACTAAAAAAATTGTTATGTGTTTTGAGTAAGGATGAGATCCTCAGCATAGTACATGTGCTCATAATTAAATCCTAAGGGATTATTCTTGGAACAAGTAACACTCTAGAAAGAAAAGTTATTTCCTGAGGTGGTAAATCAATTTGATGGACCCACGGGTCTAAACTTACGTATTTAATTTGTGGACGTATTTCTACTTTGGTATAAGGGATTAGTCTTTTAATATTATACTTCAGCAAATCCACGTGCCTAAACTCATCCGGGATGGTAAACAATAAGACCCTTTGGTTTAAGGTCACAAAAATCAAAAGCCATTCGATGTGAATCGAAGGGCTGAGATGCATCTCTCAACGAAGTCGCAGAATAGCTTATATAAACTTTGAACATGGCTAAGAGTGTAACTCCAGCAACTCAATTTCATATGTGACAGCTATGAGCGATTGTGAATAAAAAAATAAAAATAAATAAAAATCTTAACAATTATGTTACACTTTCAGGAATATGGCCGGAGTCTTTGAGTTTCAACGATGAAGGAATGGGACCACCTCCCAAATCATGGAAAGGAATATGCCAAACTGCTGATAACTTCACCTGCAACAAGTAAATTTTCAAACTTGGCTTTTGTGACCATTCTCACTGCTCTCTCCTTTTTCTTCTTTCCTTAATACTTTAAGACTAAGGAAATTTATGAACCACCCCTCGCCCAATCTGTTTATGAAGCAATGTTATCAGATTTGCATCACTTTGGTTGAAGTCTTCGGCTTTAGTCCCTCAACTGATGTGAAACGAATCAAACCCCAATATTTCGAGAAATCATCTAGGTTTATCAAATGATGATTCCAAATAGATGCGATAAGACTCGAATGATAATGATCTAGGTTTGTCAAATGTACTGTTGAAATATTCATAATTTTGTTAAAGCTGCCTCTAAAATATTGAACATGTTGGAAGTATAAACCCATAACATTCAAAAGTTTTCAAAATCTAGACATAAATATTTTAAAAATGCCTAATTATACTTGTTTTTGGAAATCTTATTTCTTGTTTTATTTTAAAAAATGTACCCAAAAAGAGCCATATGAAGTGATTATGATAACATTGTACAAAAAGAGCCTCCCAATGACCCCTTGCCTAGCCTTTTTGGAAAATGCCCCTTCCATATTCTCCATTCCTAACCAAGATGATCCATTTCATTTCAGTAAGATCATTGGAGCACGATTCTACAAAAGCGACGGTTACTATGACGAGACAGACTTCAAGTCCCCGAGGGACTCTGTGGGACATGGCACTCACACTGCTTCGACTGCGGCTGGCAGGCCTTACAACGGGGCGAGCTATTTTGGATTGGGCAAAGGTCTTGCAAGGGGCGGTGTCCCTTCAGCAAGAGTTGCAGTTTACAAGGTTTGTTGGGCCGGTGGTCGCTGTGGCCTTGCGGACATACTTGCGGGATTCGATGATGCCATTGCAGATGGGTGTCACATTTTATCTGTCTCTCTTGGTGCAAGTAGCCCAGTTGAGTATATGCAGGATCCCATAGCCATTGGATCGTTCCACGCCATGAAGAATGGCATCTTAACCTCCAATTCTGCAGGCAATTCGGGTCCCTCCCCCTACTCTGTTTCCAACAATGCTCCTTGGTCTCTGACCGTGGCTGCTAGTACGATAGATAGGAAGTTTGTCTCTCAAGTTCAACTTGGCAATGGACAGATCTATGCGGTAAGTCATCATCAGCATCATAATACCATCGCCATCGTTGTCTCTCGCTCTAGTTATAGTCATCTTTATTGATAAAAACGAAGAGAAAAAAAAACCCTTTAACTTTGTCATGACTTAAGGGATTGTCTATAAAGAGACCATTTATCTTTATTACAAGGAGGTCATAATTATTCTCACTCATTAAATATCAAATTGGATGGCTTGGGATGAATCACGAAGTCTGAGAGTATTATGTTGAAACTTTGTGTCTAATCAATGACACTCTTACAACCGCCCATTTTGAAATCTAAAAGAAAAAAATGATTGTGATTTCTTTGTACAAAAGATAAATGGCATCTTTCTAGATAATCCCGCAACTTACTTAGCTTTAAAAAACATATACTTATCTAATCCCACTATGTTGTGCAAATTGTGAAAGTTGTTTATTTTTACATTCTTCTAAGCTTGGAATTTTTATTTGTAAAGGGACATGCAATCAACTCTTTCGCCCTTAATGGCACGTACCCCTTGATCTATGGAGGTGATGCAGCTAACTACTCTGCAGGAGCAACAGATCTCACCTCCAAGTACTGCATTCAAGACACTCTCAACTCCTTCAAAACTGAGGGCAAGATTGTTCTTTGTGACTTCCTATATGATGGTTCGGGGGTGCTTCAAGCCAAAGGCTTGGGGACCATCATGAGCGACCGTCGATATACGGATTTCGCCTTCTCATATCCGTTGCCTGCCACCCTTCTTCTGCCAGACGAAGGAGAATCTGTGAAAGCCTACATTAGATCAACCAGGTGTGAGATTGGAAGCACCTTCTCTTTTATTTACACAATGTTATAATTTCATGTCTTCCTAAATTTCTTATCCATTTACTGTATGTCAGGACGATTTTTTCAAGTATGATTATTCTTTTCCTCACTTACAAACATGCGAGTAACTTTTAAGTTATAAGAATTCTCTCATGTTGGGTGACTAGTTTTTTATCAATATGAAGACTAGTAAAATGTCTTGCAGGCTTTTTAAAAGTGTGGAACATCAGTGCTAAAAATATCAGCAATCCACTTGTGACTTGAGTCGTTCAGGATCGGGACCAAACATAACCTTTGGAATCACCCTAGTCTCCTGTTTTTTCACATGATAGGATTTTTTCCCATTAAAGATTTCCCCTGTCCAGCTTGGACTTGCCTGAGTCTGATTAGAGGAACTCTGAACCAAGCCTTTGGAAAGTCAAAACCAAAGTCCGACTGTTAAATATAAGAAAATATACCCACACACAACAAAAACAACATAGTTGCACAGTATTGTATCAGAACTCAGATAGCAGACCTTACTAACTACCAAAAACCCTTCTTAATTATGTAAGTTTTAGCTTTCATATATTATGCATCCGACCTGCAAAATATTCTCTTGAGGTCTAAACTGTCTCTATTGGCCTCTAACAATTAGATCATCTCATCTCTATTCATGTTTCAGTAAGTGATACTTCAATTTTTTTCTCATTTTTTCACTAATTCTGTGAAAATATGTTTCCACGCAGCACTCCTATCGGAACAATTTTGAAAGGGGAAACATTCCAAGATTCTGTAGCTCCAACTGTAGTTTCCTTCTCTTCAAGGGGACCGAATGCAGTCACACTAGATATTTTAAAGGTACAAATTAAGAATTCATGTTTTCTCAATGTTTTTGAGAGATTGAACTTATTTAACAATATACGGCATTTTTGCCCCTTATGTGAATTTGTGGGCTACTCAACCTATTATTTTTTGTTGAATTTTGCCTTTCATTCTTGAATTCTTTTGTCCTAAGCTCTTTTCTCTTCTTGGTTTAATGTGAATAGCCTGACCTTACTGCTCCTGGTGTCGACATTCTTGCTGCTTGGTCGCCGGTTGCCCCACCTTCTGGCAGCCCTGTTGACAAACGGTCTGTAGATTTCAATATAATTTCTGGTACCTCCATGTCTTGCCCACACGTGAGTGGGGCGGCAGCCTATGTGAAGTCTTACTACCCATCTTGGTCTCCTGCTGCAATCAAATCAGCTTTGATGACTACTGGTAACTGATTGCAATAAAATTCACTCTTTTCCTAATGGTAATGAATAAGATGATAATTTTTGTAATGACTAATTTTCAAATTTGTAACACATTTTCTTGAATTTGGAACAGCCTCATTCATGGACAGTAGAAAGAATGAAGAAGCAGAGTTTGCTTATGGTTCTGGCCACATCGACCCCGTAAGAGCAGTCCACCCTGGGCTTGTCTATGACGCAGGTGTGAACGACTATATCGACTTCTTGTGCAAACAGGGATACAACACTACAACCCTTAGGCTCATAACTGGGGATAACACGAGCTCATGTGCTTCGAGCACCTATGACAAAGCATGGGGCTTAAACTACCCATCCATTGCTCTATCCATTGCCGATGGTCAACCCATCAAGGGTGTCTTCCCAAGAACCGTTACAAACGTTGGCTACGCTAACTCGACTTACCATGCATTCATTACCGCACCTTCGGGCATCAAGATTACTGTGGAGCCCAATGTTCTTTCTTTCAAATCAGTCGGCGAGAAACAATCCTTCTTGGTTAAGATTGATGGCGGTGTGGTTTCGCAGCTACCCATTCAATCAGGAGCCATTACATGGAATGATGGGGTTCATCAAGTTAGGAGCCCTGTTATTGTTTACACAGTGCTTCCTTCAATGATGATGCCGAACACTGTGATGAAGCCCTTCTCTTTTGATGAATCCTCATTCATCAATGGCCTTCTTTAGGCCATCAATGCTTCATTCGAGGATGAAAGATTAGTGTCTAATAGTAATCTCACCATCATAGACTAATGTCCGTAGATGGTAACACGATTTAAGTGAATAAACTGTAGGATTTCTACTTGTTATTGCTTCAAGATTTATACCACTGGAATCGCTGAGACGTAACAGTCTATCTTTAACAAAACGAAATTTTTCTACTTCACCATTTATTGCACTAAAACAGATTTTTCCATTTCTGAGAGTCTGTACAAAGTCTACTCATAACTAGTATTAACATGAAAGTTTAGATATACATCTGTTGATAGGACAAAATTTACAATAGTGAATTTGAACAAAAGTCACAAAGAGAAAACTTCATCATAACTATGACTTCTTCCAAAGTTGGTCCTGTTGTGCCTTCAACTAAGGAAGCTACAATTACCCTGAAAAATTTTTAGCATAGTTTGATGAATTTGGCTACTTAATAAGTGATCATCATAGTCCTCAAAAATAATCATAGTCAGAAGATGTAAGCATTTTAAAAAAGGGAGGTCCATTAGAAACAATGCGAGCCAAAAAGCATTTATGGATAACAATTTCACTTTCAGAAATGCACAATTAAACATAATCCAAATGATTGAAATGCAAATAAATATTTTAACAGCAATGCATAACTCAAAGGATTTCACAAAATACCCTACTGGCGTCCCAAGTTGGTCACCTATATATCCCACCAGCATCCTGGATGGGTCCAAACAATCCCTGCAGGTCTAAACATACCTCACCAGCATCCCGGATGAGTCTAAATAGTCCCTACCAGCGTAGCCAGATACGTCCAAACAATCCCTGCAGGTCCAAACATACCTCACCGGCGTCCTGATGAGTCTAAATAGTCCCTAGCGGCATAACCGGATAGGTCCAAACAATCCCTGCAGGTCCAAACGTACCTCACCGGTGTCCTGATGAGTCCAAATAGTCCCTAGCGGCATAACCGGATAGGTCCAAACAATCCCTGCAGGTCCAAACGTACCTCACCGACGTACTGGATGAGTCCAAATAGTCCCTATCGGCGTCCCAGATAGGTCCACACATACTTAAATTATCTCAGAAACTCTTTAACATCAGAAAGCATCAACATCGTATATTCAAAGTATCATTGAAATCATTAACAGGAATTCACTTGAAGCAATTTAATGAATTACTTTCATTGAGATATTTGTAAGTAATCAATCAAACAATTTGGATAAAATTGCAGAAAGTTAGCAGATCGAACATGTATATTTGAAATGGAATCCAATAGGCAGTCGATTATCGATTTAAGAGCTTTTATGGAAATCCAAGGTTAAACACATAAATATCACAATTTTATGAAATGTAATTTCATAATTAATTATTTTACAGGAATAGGTAAAACTTATAGTATCTAAAATTCATAGACAAACAAAAATACAATTAAATGTAGAAATGTGTAAATCTCACAGTATTGGCAGTATTATAATTAGTTGCAGATATATCAATTTTTTACATAATGATTTTACCAGAAATGACATCACTTACACATAAATTTTACAGTGTCTAAAAGTCATAATAATAGGCAGAAATTTTATTTTTAATAATTTACAATGTCTAAATTTCTAATAATAATAATTTTAACAGAAAAAAATGATACCATATGCTCATAAAATTACAGTATAAAAATGGTGAAAAGACTATTTTTCAGGATAATGAGATCATTTACCTATAATATTTGAGAGGGAACTTTCAGTAAAATTCAGCTAGAGAGAAGGAGTTCACTGTATTCTTTAATTCACAAAGAGGGCTCAATGTTACTGAGAGTGAGGGGCGTAAGAGAGAGTATTTTTGCAGAGAGAGAATCCAACTCGTTCTCCTCTTCTTAAACACAAAGAAAAATATTATTGTAATATATTATTAACCCACCTCATACATGAGGTGTTTAGAAGGTGTTACATTAACGCTTAAAGCCCACATCCCTAGAGGACGTGGCACAAGAAAAAAAGGTGAAGGTAAAAGGAGCAAAAAAAAAAAATCACATATTATGTGCGATTGAGATTGAGATGATATTGATAAGTTTCCTAAAATAATAGAAATCCAAAAAGATTAGTACTCTTGAATATATCTCTTGGTTTTTTAGATATATGTAACATCTATACGAAGTTTTTTATTTAGTATGGATTCCTAACTTTATATATGGGATGAAAGATAAAATAATAGGCAACCTCAAGCTGCGATGCAGAGCACCACAGAAGGCGGTCTGATAATGCTAACATGAGACCGACCAGCATTGCCCCAAACATTTGGCCAAACTACTATAAAAAAAACTCAAAAAAACAAAAATTAAAATGTGATATAAGGATGGTATCCTCGGACCCAAGGGCAATTTTGAGAAAAAATATAAAAAACCTCTGATTGACCGACCTTCCGTGCAATTTTAATCCAAAATTGACTCATTTCATATTTTAGTATTTTTTTTATGTCCATACGTAATTAACTCTCTATTTTTTACTGTTAACTGGAGATTTTCATTAAAGAATCGATTATGGTTAGAAGTCCCATAACGTGTTCAATCGACTGCGTGGAGAATTAAAAAGGTACAAACTTCGTCATTTAATTGTGCGATTTAGTTAGAGTTCCATTGTAATTAGGAGTCCTTCTGGATGAATATGGCCTAATTTTTTGGATTAAATTGAGCTATTTAAGTTCTATGGATAATGTTGCAATTCCATTAAGAGAGGGAACACAATTTGAATTAGGGTTAGGATGGCGTGCCACGTAAGTACTATTTGAATTAGGAAAGTATTTTAAGTCAGAATTAGGAAAGAGTTGAAGTCCTAAATAGCAGCCTGAGAGACGCAGAAGTTGCTTGTAATAAACTTGAAGAGATAAATAAGGGAGGTGACGATAGAGAAATTCAAGTTGCTTCTCTATCTTTTGCAATCATGTCCAAGAAACACATGGAGCCTTTTGATCGTCTTCCCGATGAAATGATTGCACATATCATGGTTGACTCTGTGTCCTTTGATGATCTCAATGCGCTAAAAAATATGTGAGTTTTTTTTGTTTAAATTCTTTCTGTAAATCTTTATCTTCTTTTCCTTTTTCCTTGCTTTCTTTCTAAACTCTTTGACTGAGTTGTATGATTGTCATCTTAGGTGTAAGAGGTTTAAGGTCCTCTCTGAAGATGCTTCGGTTATGCAACGAATTTCAAGAGAGCTAGTTGCTGAAAGCCTATGGCAACCGAACAGCAAACCCATGGCATACCTCAAACGATGTGCACATGCAGGAAACGCTGAAGCCCAATACCTATTGGGAATGGTAATCATCTCTCTTAATTTTGCATAAAAAGAAAAAAACTAGTTAAATTCATTTATGTCTTGGTTTAAATGCATATCTCTACTTGTTTTAGTTTGAGGTTTCATGGTTAATTTCACAGTTCTTGGCATAGTTTAATGTTCTTGATTTAGATTCATGGTTCATGGTTCTTGTTTTAATTTGAGGTTTCATGGTTGTTATATTTTGAGGTACTTGGTTTGGTTTAATTTCATAGTATTATATCCCTACCTAGATTTCAGGTGAAACCAGAATAGTTGATTACAGGTATTCTATAGTTGTCTGTTTAGTTTCTTTTTCAATAACAAAACGAACAAGGGATCCATGTTGCCATAGAAAAAACTCGAGGTTATAAGTTCATCACCATCTAAATCAATGGATGGATGGTGATCCAAATAGGGTGGGACGAACCTCTTTAGTCATTCTCAGGTGATCGGTGGTCCTACCCTCTCTCCATCTGTATTTGTTCCTCCTTTCTCTCTCTCCTCAATAACAGATCGGGACCTTACTTTCCATTTCAATTTTCACTAACAAATAAGTTTCAACCATGCCTAACAAATAGCAGAATGGCGGATTGCATGTGTATATACTACATCCACCATCCGTTCTAATCAATGAAGGCGGAGATAAATAATCATGCATCATTTTTTTAAACTCGGTTTGGGCCTTAGACTCGAACTTGTCCGAGCACGAGTAACTCAGTCCCTAGTAAGGTACAGCCCCAAAAATCTCTAATCCTTTTTTTAAAAGAGAAAGTGGTAAAAATAAAACAAAAGTTTCATAGTGATAAAACATAAAAAGTCCAAAGAATCAGTAAAAAATTATACTTTAAAAAAGGATCTTGTTTCTATGCGGCCAAGCCGGCATATGTAGAAATGCAGGCCCCTTAATAAATCTATTTTTCATATGGATTTTAATACTTAATTTTTAAGGATAAGTAATCTCTAACATGGAGATCATGAATATGAGAAAATGAATAAATTTTAAAAATCAGAAATAATAATTCTAGTAAGAAAATATTTGGACCGTTAGTTTCTATTGTTTTTAGATGGAACACCTGCATCCATCGTTTAGATGGATGCTTTACACTTTCTTGACCGCATATGTAGAAAAGCGGTCCAACCCGCATGAAAGAACTTTCCTACAAAAAAAGTTGATTTAAAATTAGAGACATTTTCAAAAAAATAAATATAAAAAAAAACATTTTTGACACTAAAAATTTATAAATCATTATAAAAATATTTCGAAGTTGTTCCTCGGTACATGCCAAGGGCTTAATAGTCCACTCAGACTTGGCCAAGTAGTTTCATGTTGAAATACATGCATGTTGGACTTTTGGAAGTTAAACAATAGTAAGGTGCCCCGACTTTGCCACATGAATAGAGAAAATAAAGTCCTCGGGACTATGACGATTCCATAGTCCTAAGATCAAAAGGTCATAATGACCATAGTCCTCGTGACTAAGGAGATTCATAGTCAATGGTGCATATCAAAACCTCCATGGCGGAGCCAGCATGCGATCCACCATAAGGTTGTCTTGTTGGTGGGTCACTCCCATCCTGTTATTGAATGGATTGTGATCCAATCACCAGTTATAACTGGATTTTCTTTTCTTGGTGAGTTACTTTTATAACAGTACGAGTACAAGATCGGTCTATTAAAATGAAAACTATAGT